TCTTTGTCCTTTAAATTGTACAACTAACATATTTTGGAAATGGGACTGTGTTCATGAAGATAAAGTTGGTGGTCTGGCTTTCTTCTTGGGCAGGATGATGCACTGTCAAGTAGAATTATCAGATCTGCTAGATTGTATATGCAGGGTCAGCTGGTGAGGGAGATTACCATCTGACAATAATTTTAAAAAGCAGAAAAATGACCTGAGTTTATACATGGAGAGTGGGATCAACAGTAGGTAGGAGGTGTCTTGGGTCTTAGAAGATAATGTGAAGAAGAAAATAGTAAATAATGTGGGTAACATGAAGCCTAAGCAATAAAACAATTTAAGTCTTTTCTCCCTCTAAGTAAGAAGGAAGATTAAAGCCATAGGAACATCCAGGATGGGCAGCTGGCACAGCAGAGGATGGCCAGGATCCTCAGGATTCTTTCAAGCATATAATATAAAGATGCTCACATTTTACCTCCAGAGGAGTCAGTTTTCACAGGCTGCCGATGTGGAAAGTGCTGAAGGGAAGGAAAGAATAGGGTAAAAACTGCCAGTTGTAGAATAGAATGTGATAGAAATTGCAAAAGAGGAAAAACAAGAGTTGAGAGAGAAAAAAAATAAAGCTAAAAAGACTTGAGTGGGTGAGTGGGTAGAAGTATTTATTCAAATAAGCAAGAAGCAACAAAGGAGGAGGCTCCCCAACCTCGAAGTCAGTGCCAGCACAAAAGGTACCAGCCTTCATGGGAGTTTGTTCAGCTAACCCCAATTATTGGGTATAAAAAGTTTAATAAATTCATGATGTTTCTTGGCATAAAAACACATCTAGATTTTCTCTCAGCCTAATAGTATCTTGTTTCGTTCTTTCTTGTGATATGTTCTCTTTCTAACTGTAGTCATTTCCAAATGAACTTGTTGAGCCATTCTGAAAACTTTAGTTATAGAGCTGCCCCAATTATGGAATAATTGCAATACTAAAATAGTAAGATTTTCACAACAATGGCTCCAGTCCTAAATATCCTCTAACTGCTTTGCTTATGGTTAAGAGGAGTGATATTGTCATCAGCACTTTAGTCATTCACCTTCAATTAATGAACAAAATGTAATGAGTACATGGCAATATACAGAGCGAAACAATAGCAACAACAAAAACTACACTAAGATTTTGCTTTTGAGCAAGAGGGAACAAAAGAGGTATCATGGTTCTCAAGCACTTGAGGACTATAAAACCTAATTTAAACCTTGGATTGTTGTTCTATTTAGTTATTTCCTGAAAAAATATAGTTGTATAATTGTAGGGAGACAGGTCGGTATTTGTTCTGAATTGTCAGATTTAAATAGTAAGCATTTTTTCATTCAAGAGTCTTTCCAACTTATATGCACATCTTGGACCTGTTTAGCACATGGCCCATTCTTCACTCTTTTCCCTGTGTCATTCAAGGGTTAATTCAGGTTCTTGAGTCACAGCTTTTGGCTGGGTTCTGCCAACAGGAAGCATCGGTAAGAGATTAGAGATTAAGGAAAAGAGGGAAACCTGGGGTCTTTCTCCCCTATTCTTTCTGCTTTTGGAAGCACCTTCTATGTCTTTGATGTAGCTCCCACAGTGCTTCCAGTTTATGCCAGGGGCTCCAACCCCTGGGCTTTAGCCATCCTGCACTCCCTTGTATTTGTCCAGCCTAGGAGGTATACTGACTTCTTCTGCTGATCCCTGGATTACTACATGGTCCCCACGTGGCTTCTCAGTTCTCTATCATTCGAATTTTTGTGGGCCATCTTGCTGAAATGTAAACACCTTATGTGGTTTCTACTATGCTTAATTTTTCTTATTAATAAAAGTACTTAAAAACTGATGAGTTGGTACTTTATAAAATTGTTATCTAAAATAGAAGGTCTTGATGCTCTATCTTGTCTATTTATGTATAAGCTTACCTATATATCTGAAAATAAGTCTCTCTCAATTTGTAATGGGCCGAAAGAGACACCATTCTAGATTAAATTTGTATACACCAGTTTTTCTTTAGACATGATTTATAGAGCTCTCAGCATAATGGTTTTTAAAGGTAAAATATTTTAGCAATAATATCACATTGCAGGTGCCTCCCTTACAGTGGTTGTGAGGATCAAAATTAATGTACATGAAAACCCTTTGAAATTGTAAGAAGCACTTTAGATGTAAGATTATGTTATTATTATGTCATTATTGTTATGTCCTGAATTTCTGCAAAGAAGCTTGAATGCTGAATTAAATCAATATTCAGGATATTAGACAAAATGTTATGGCCTCGCTTAAGAACTAGGACACTCTGTCACTAACAGAAACCACTATAAAACTGACCATGTGCAGAAACAACATTTCTTTTTTTACATTTTTTTCTGATGTAAGTATGGTGAAAGGAAGACCTGTCCTTTTTTACTGCTTTGCTTTTACTCCTGGATTACAGAATTTTGTCTTTCATGCAGGCATACAAACAAAATTAGCTTGAATAAAAGTAATTTTTAAAAATTAATTATTCTCAGATATCATTTCCACAGCTATTTTTAATGGATTTGCTATCAGAGCTTTCTCCTTGCAAGTAGGTTTATTGCTCACTTTATAATAGAAATTTTAATGGCAGTCACATTTCCATTCATTAGTCGGTGGAATTTATTACTTGCTATGAATCTTCTAGTGTCTTGTCCAGCTTAATTTGCAGTGACAAAAACAATGAAGTATTCCCTTTGAGAAATTATTCATCATTCTACAAGACTTAGATGTGGAGAAATACCTCTATGCATACATTCACTGGGTATTCCTTTGAGTAGCTTCGTATTGTTGTACATTTTCTTATTTTTAAATCATCCTAAAGAATTTCTCCTTTCTATTAGTGATAAGCCTGCCTTCTTGTAAATTGTCTTGATTCTCTTAGCTGTCAGTTGACCTAATCATAATGGCTTTCTTTGTGTGTTTAGTCTACCTGCTTAACCAAATTCTCTAAGAGTATGCCCAAGAAAAGCAACAACAAAACAAAAATTAAAAGTCAAATTCTTTTGAATATCTTTGACTGTTATGTGCAGCTCCTTTAATCATTTGCCAGTAATGTTATGAATGTCTCCTATTGTGATTTGTCCTTTGCTAGATGCTTTGGATATAAATGTAATCAAGATAGACATGGAACTTGCCCCTATGGAGAATAAACCCTATGGGAGAGACAGACAATTAACCATTAAACCAATGAATGAAATAGTGTGCAGTAATGGGTAATAACTATGGAATGCAAGGGAGAGGCTTCTTTAGAAAAGGTGGTCTGGGAAGCATTTGAAAGTGTCATTTAGTGTAAGAAATAAAATTGAGAAGTAATGTGACTTGCAAGGAGCTGAGGGAATTTTTTCAGGCAAAAGAAACTGTAAGTGCAGAGATCCTGAGACAGAAAAGAGTTTGACATATTCTCATAAGATCAAAATACCTGTGCACCTAATGTTGAACTCCTTAAGATAAAGTTAAAATGGAAAGGAGAGACCAGACTTTGCAGAGTCTTGTAAATCAATGGAAGCAAATGAAGACGGTTAAGCAAAAGATTGTCACAATGATTTTTCTCTGCGTTCATCCATCCATCCATTCATCCATAACTTTGGTTGTTTAGAAAGTAAAGGATTAGAAGCCAGGGGTTTTAGGAAAGGAGATAGAACGGAAAGCTGGAAGGCAGTCAGAAAGCTACTGAAGTAATCTAGACGAGAGATAAGAGTTGCTTTGCCTGTTGAGTTGAAAGCGGAGATAGAAAGCAGTAGGCAGAACAAGGTGTATTTCAGATATAGAAGAGACAGCACATGCTGGTGGATTGGATGTGGAAGACGAGGGACAGAGAGGAAGGAAGGGGGACTCCTCAGCCTCTGGGTTGACCAACTAGAAAACCAGCATTTTCTATCATGTGAGAGGCAGGAGGAATAAAGGAAGTTTGGAACTTAAAAGATGGTATTCAAACTCACGGGAACGAATTATGGTGTTCAGAAGAGAATGTGAGAAAGAAGAGTCCAGCAACTCAATATTTAGAAAGCAGGGATATGAAAGAACCAACAGAGGAGACTTGAGAATAAGCTGAAGCAAGTAAAAGGAGGAAAAAGAAAGACAGAGATGATGAGTGTTTTAATGAGGAAATGGTTAACGTTCAAAAGTTTCTGAGTGTTTAATAAGATGGACAGAAAATTGACCTTGGACTTTGACCAGATTGAGCTCATCAGAGACTGTCAGCAAGAAGAATTTTAATAGAGTATTGGAAATATAATACAAGGTAGGGTGAGTCCTAAGTGGGAAATTAGGAAGAGAAAACAGCATAGAAAGAACATTACCTCTGTGAGAAAAAGGATTATTTACATTAGGTTATTTGAAAAATTAGAATATATGTACAGAGGGATTTGTATCTTCATAAAATACTTCAATATCATCTATCACCCTAGCTCATTTTAAATTTATATGTAGCATTTTTAAAAGTTATAAGATTATCAGACAAATTGTTATGGCTTGATCATTTCTCTCAGTTGGTTTTTAATTTAAAACATATATAACCATTATTTCCAATCACTTTCTTCTCTGGAATTAATATTCCAGGGAGCTCAGAAGGGCATTTGAATAAACATGCAAGTCAGTTAGGGTATCAATAAACTTCAACGCTCTGAAAGACTTCCAATACATTGTATGTATACCAAAGGTGGAAACAGACCAAAACTGAACAGAATTAAATGTTCTTATTCTTTCTTTACACCATCAATTTCCCAATGCCCCATTCCCCTTTAAGATAAACTAAGGCCAGGGTGGGTCTCATGCCTGTAATCTCAGCACTTTCAGAGGCTGAGGCAGGTAAATTGCTTGAGCCCAGGAATTCAAGATAATTCTAGGCAACCTGACAAAACCCCATCTCTACAAAAAATACAAAAATTAGCCAAGTGTGGTGGCACATGCCTATAGTCCCAGCTACTGGGGGGGCTGAGGTGGACGGATCACTTGAGCCCAGGATGTTGAGGCCTCAGTGGACTGTGATCATGCCACTGAACCCCAGCATGGGTGACAGAACAAGACCTAAAACCATCTCAAAAAAAAAAAAAAATGAGTTATATCTGGAGGTGGATGAGTCTCCTACTGTTTGTTATTGTATCATTGCTTATAGATGATTGCATATTGGAATGATTTCTAAGTTATTTTACTCAACATAGATATTTTCTCAAATATGTATATATCAAATTGCTAATTTTTTTCCCCTCCTTCAAAATGCAATTGACAAGTAAAAGTTAATTGGCTTGACATTGCTTTATGCTTAGAAAGTCAGACTTGGACTGACTGGGTCATCTAATGTTATTCTTGCTGAATTCTAGTAACAACCAGCAAAACATCACAGGCATCTTCGCTGTAACATATCACTCTTGTATTACTGAGAAAACAGCAAGAGGTAGTAAAGACAATGCTGGGCTTGGAGTCAGAAGTCCTGAGTTTGAATCCCAGCTCATTCGCCTACCACCTAGGTAAAGTGGGCAAGTCATTTTAACTCCACTGACCCCCAGTTTTTCTTATTCATAAAATAAGGAAAATAAATAATATTTTATTCAACGATCTCATGGCGGGGGGGTAGCATGTTCAAATGTGAAAGTGCTATATACACAATAAAAGGTTGAAACACGGCCGGGCACGGTGGCTGACGCCTGTAATCCCAGAACTTTGGGAGGCCGAGGCGGGTGGATCACGAGGTCAAGAGATCGAGACCATCCTGGTCAACATGGTGAAACCCCGTCTCTACTAAAAATACAAAAAATCAGCTGGGCATGGTGGCGCGTGCCTGTAATCCCAGTTACTCAGGAGGCTGAGGCAGGAGAATTGCCTGAACCCAGGAGGCAGAGGTTACAGTGAGCCAAGATCACGCCATTGCACCCCAGCCTGGGTAACAAGAGTGAAACTCCGTCTCAAAAAAAAAAAAAAAAAAAAAAAAAAGGTTGAAACACTTGGTCAGTGTTGTGGAAACCTAAATAATATTACACAAATTTCTAACTCACTTGGACTGTAAAACTCTGCCATTTTTTCCCACTCTCTAATTTTTAAGGCTTTACTGCTTTATTTCACATCCGCTCCAAATCCCACCACCATCTTTAGGCTCTTATGATTAAAAACTGTTTGTTTGATTTGTTCATTCTTTAGTCTAATACTTCAAGACTGCCAGTTCTGCTATGCTTTATGTTAGAGTTTAATTTTAATAAAATAAGAGAGAGATCCACTTGTACAAGTGTATCCATGTGCTTCCATATTTCATATTGATATAGGTGATGCCTGCTCTCAGAAATAGAATCTATCTATGGTAATCTGCTAGGTTCCTGTCCTTTGCTCTTGCTTCTAAACTCCAGAGCCTTTAGAAATACGTATTTATCAGCATTTTCGGTTCTTAGGCAACATAGTCTTGCTTTCAAAAGCAAAGAGGACAACATATGGCTGTTCTCACCTTTGGCAAGAGAGAACCTCTCAATGCATGCAATTAGAAGGGCCTCTTACTCTTCTAGCTAGCTGAACCTTTTTCATAAGATTTCACTATTTAATTTTCAAATAAAATGCAAAGCTCATGACTAATGTTTTATAATTATTGCTTAAAACTAAGTGTTTCCAGGCTTGAATTTTGCAGTATTAAGAAGGAATCTTGCTTAATGTACACGGACAAAAATGTCCTGCTTAGTCACAGTGCCAAGAAAGCAATGCATCCAAGAGCAGAATGGAAGCACTGACATTTAATCTAGCATATTGCAGCAAAGTGTGGTGTAGTATGCTGGAGCACAGTTAGAGAACAATAGTGGCAGAGAGATGGTAAAAGAGGGCTGCGTTCAATGCTTTCCCAAATACTATTCTCCTTCCTGGATGTCATCAGGGCGAGGCTGAGATGCTTTTGGAGACAAGGAGAAAGTGAGATCAACATGCTGAGTTTTCATTTAATAAAGCAGTCTCCTTTCAGCCCTCTCCTTGATTGTACTTGAAGACTGTATTTTCGGTCTTAAACAGCTTCACTAAAGTAAAATTATTTCAGGAATTTTTCACTTAAAACATGAACCCTTTCTTTTAGCATGTTCCCTTCTGTCTACTGAAACATGATTTAGGGATTAGGTATACAGTGAGGTTCTGGTTTTGTAATGACAATTTTAACTCTAGCTGCAGAGACTTAATCAGAGTCTTCAAGAAACTACATTAGTGCTTCTTTTCTGTCTCTCCTAATGTTCAACAGTTAAAATGCATAATAGAGTCTCCTACCTTATTTTGGGTATGATTTCCTATTAAAATATTGAAGACTGTAGGTGTTGGGATGGGAGCACAGGAAAAATAAAACAGAATTTTGTCCAAAGGTTTATATATTTTTCTAACTGCCTGAATATTACAAGTTTTAATTATTTGTTAATTCTCCGTTTCATTCTCTCATCAACAAAATCTGTTTAAAAAATCTAAAGTTTGCTAAGAATACTCTATACTATGATGAAAACCATGTCTCATTAATTATATTAATTTCATTTTAATCCTGTTTTCTGGATGTATCAGTCCTCATCATTTTATTAATGCATTTTATCTATAACTAGATTTCAGAAACTGTTTAACAAAGATGGAGCCATAGAGAAACACTGTGAGACATTTACATGTTCATCTACATTTTACTGGGGTGTGGAATAGTTTGTTTTGCTGAACTAGAACAAATACTTTAGTTCCTTAGAACTAGCAATGAGAAGTACTTTTCTGTCATGGAGGACTATCAAATTACAAGAAATATGTGGGTGAGACTTATGAAGAACTTTGGGACTTAGAGGACTGGGTAGAATTTGGTAGAAATGAAAACTAGAGGTTGGTTGAAGATGTCAAGGTGACTAGACAAGTTTTCCCATACAACTTTTAATCCTGTGTCTGTAGTTTTGCTGTAGTAAGCCTGCGGTCTCTTTCAACATTGAAACGTCTGTTTGAGTTTTCATAGGAACAATTTCTCCTTACTAAAAATGAGGGTTAAGAGGTCAAAATGAGAAATATTATGTATTTTTATATTTATTAATTTTAAAAGAAGTTCAAAGTAAAACAAAGTTGTGACTAGAATATTTTGAAATTATAAAATGTTTTATTTTCCTTCTTATTTAAAGGAAATACATATAAAATACAGAAGTAGGATTATCTTTAATGAAAATGATGATTTTTCATTTTGTTTGAATGACTAAACGTAAATTTATTGGTTTTCTCTTTCTTTTTAAAAATACATCTAACAGAGAAGAAAATCGCGATATTCAGACCTTGACTTTGAGGTAAGTTTATATCAATTATTTTAGAATTTTAATTACTTGAATTCAAAATTTGTATATAATTAAAGATTATTACTCTATGCAGCCATGTAAGGATATTATGTACTAATTTAATTAAATAAGTCAAATATTTTTAATTAAAATTTATCCTGTATAGCATGAAATTTTAAAGTTATAAATACTTTAAGTATATGCTAAACTGAGATTTTATGGACAAGTGAGGAATCTATTTCATAAATACTAAGATAAGTGAACAATTTATGTTGGGAGTTGAACCTGGTTGATTCAGTTTGTAGGGAGAAGGAATGTCAGCTTCCTGATTTTTATATTTAAAGCAATTTTTTTTGTTTTACTTCAGTGACTGCCTGAAGAGATCCTGTGAGCATGCTTAGGCTGGTTAGGCTTTCTCTGAAAATTACTTGTTTTGTGTTCTGATTCCAGCTATTTAAATTATCTGCAGTACATTCAGATGTTTTTTTTTTTTTCCCAATGAAAACTATTGATTCAATGTGCTCCTGTGTTTAGCAAATGCCTTTTTACAGATACAAATAAGATGAAAATTTTCATTTTCTAATTTACATCGAATTTATATTGATGCTATAATATTGTTAGTGAAAATTACTGAAATCATACCAACTGAGGAGGTTATGCTAAATACAAAATTAATGATGGTTAAGCATCACATAAAATGTACTTATGCATCTTGATAATTGGATGTGATTCATAGTCTGCTAACATAATTGGATATAATACATTATACATTTCTCATATATTTGTACCCTTGTGATGCATACATAGAACTCAATACTCTTAACTGATATTCCTAAAATTATAGAAGTCTCCCAGCACATGCAAACTACTCATAATTCAGTCATTTCATTTAGGTAGATGAATGTTGCAGCTCTATAATGTACATCATGTGTGAAAACTAAGACATGTTTTTATTTATTGCAATGGTCAACAATAATTTTACCCTGAATAAAGTCCAAAGAGAATTGGTTCTTTTCAGTAACATTTCAGGCTACAAGATACAAAGTAATGATAAGCCATCTTTTATCTATGATTAAATAGCAAATTTTAATACTGATGTAGCCTCATTGTTGTAACTTGACACTGAATATTTATTTTAATGCATCAAAAGTTTTAGCATAAGAGTATCAAGCTTATGATTTGAATAGAAAATATTCAGCAATCTTTGCCTTTAGATTATTCAGTGCCTTTGAAGGACAGATATTTTATGGCTTTTTAATATTAATCTTCAGGTAGTCAAAAATAGAGGATCAGACTGTATGTATTTTTGTCTAAAAGCAATAAATTGTTATGTTAGTACAAAGGAAAGGAGGAAAGAATTCACCCACTAGGCATCAGTGGCAAAATATAGTAAAAACCTAGATCTAAAATTAAGCCTCAATTCAACCAACCTAAGTTATATAATCACAAACACTGAAAAGAAATCTAATCATACTGTGTCATTTGGAGCATTAGAAAAATTATTCTTTTTTCATCTGTTCTCTATGGCAACTGGTAACAGATTCCTTAAGCTGGTATTTATTTCTATGTTTAGTATTCCACCCATAAAACCATGTTGTTAACAGAACATTTGCTGATAAGTTGCAGCACAAGATCCCTGGATATGTTCTTAAGCTCTTTAACTGCTGTAATCACTGCATGATTACTGTAGGTGTCAAAATTTGGTGGGAACAGGTGGGAACTTTGAGGCATTACTTTTTCTCTAAAAATTGTTTAGACGCATTTTCCTTACTTTTGTGGGCTGTAACAGGTATGTGACAGATATTTCATAGATTGTGCTTAGAGAACATATTGCCAGATTTAAATGCTAATGAATTGTAATACAATCTACTTATATTTTGTAGGTGGGTCTTGAGGAAAAGTCCAGGTTGTCCCCCTCTTAAATCAGGCTAGTTAAATTTATATCAAGCTCACTGACACTTCTGCTCCCACTGCAATCTTTATCATACAATGGGCAACTTAAACATTTTGCCACTGACAGGCCGCCTCTTGGACTTCTGAAAGCATCTTTCCTTCAGGCTTTAAGCCTAACACACTCCCCAGAGTCTATACACTATGATAATATTCTGTCAACTCATATATCCATAAAATTCTTGTGGCTAGTTAATTTCACACCAGGGGAATGGCCCTTTCATGTAGCCAGTCTCCAGGACAGCATTGCATTTCTGAATTCCTGCTTTCTGGAAAGTATATAGAAAATACTGTGGTGATACTCCTGTGTTCTGTAATCAAATGCCTTATTGAATTTATATGCCCAGCTCTAGAGATTGTAGTACTTAGTAAGCATCAGTATATTTTTAAGGAATGGTGATAGATTAATTAGTTTTCCATCCAGTTTTCTTTAACAAAATGTTATTGGACACTACCTGAGTTAAGGCAGAGGCTGGTATAAACAATTGACAACTATGGAAGATACATTTCAAAGACAGACACGCTGAATTTCAAACATATCCACATTAGATATAGTGCAAAGAGATAGAAAAATGGCAGGTGGAAATTCTAGGAGGAGGAAAAGGCATGTAGGCTGACTAATATGTAGCATCCTCAAGAAACAAGAAGTAAAAATTTACCTAAACAGGGGCATATGGAAGAAGAGACTAGAGTGAGTAATTTAGAAACCTTGCCTTATGGTCCAGGAGGGATTTTTCTTAATTTGCTACTAAAAGCTGCTAAGCTCTTTCTGTTGTATTTTGTTTGCTTGTTGTTGTTGCTGCTGTTGTTTCGTGCAGAATGATTTGCTCTACTCTGTTTTTTTTTTTTAAAAACGAGTATGTCAGTAACAGGGAGGATAGATTGTAGCAGCATGAAAGGAGAAGTGGAAATACCAATTAGGATTGGTTAGTGTAGTAGGTAATGAAGGTCCACTTCCTGGAAGCAGTAGGGAGAGAAAGCAATGAGAAGACTCTGCGGAGGCAGAATGTATGAAATTTGGTCCTTAACTGAACACAAGGTAAAAGGGTGAGGAGCAGAAGAAAGATGACTCTCCAATTCTGAGCCTGGATTTCTGATAGCACCAGTAACAGAACCAGGGAAATCAAAAAGACATCTAGTCAGGGTGAGTTCCACTTTAATATTTTAGAATAAAGATTCCTAATATGATTTTAAAACAGACAATTAGGTAAGTTGTTCTAATTGTCTGTCTTGGGTCGAGATCTGGGCTCTAAGAATTCCCAGAAACACAGTTATAGACATTCATTCTGTAACTGTAATCGGTAACAGTATCCATCCCATGTTAAAAATATATGGATAAATAGGTATCCATGAAACCTCATCTCTACTGAAAATACAAAAGTTACCTGGACATGGTGGTGCATGCCTATAATCCCAGCTACTTGGGAGGCTGAGGCAGGAGAATCCATTGAACCCAGGCGGTGGAGGCTGCAGTAAACCAAGATCGTTCCACTGCACTCCAGCCTGGATAACAAAGTGAGACTACATTTCAAAAAAGAGTTTTTAAAAAGTGGTATCCAAATATTTGCCATATAGATATATTTTTTATCTTCACTTCCAAAAATGCAGATATAAAACCTTTCAGTTTCCATGGAAATTTTTAGAGAGAGAGAGGGAGGGAGAGAGAGAGGGAGAGAGAGCGAGCCTGGCTTTGTTACTCACACTGGAGTGCAGTGGTACAATCTTGGCTCATTGCAACCTCCACCTCTTGGATTCCAGGGATCCTCTTACGTCAGCCTCCTAGTAGCTGGGACCACAGGCATGTGTCATCATGCTTGACTGATTTGACTGATTTATGTTTTGTTTTGTTTTTTGTAGAGACAGGGTCTCACCACGTTGCCAAGGCCAGTCTTGAACTCCTGGACTCAAGCTATCCCCTTGCCTCACCCTCCCAAAATGCTGGGATCACAAGCATGAGCCATTGTGCCTGTATCTGGCCTATGTAGTCTTTTAAAAACATTGAGGATGTTTCTCTGAGTTTCTAATGAGCTCCATACCTCCACTAAATTCATACTTCTCAAACTGAGAGACAGTGATGGTGGATAGAGGGCAAACGAAGACACAGACACAGGGCAATCACAAATCCCCATTTTCATGGGAGCTTGAGTTTTTACAAAGAGATTTGGGGAATCATAATCAAGTAAGATTATTTTATATTAATTCAATA